AGACAAATCACTCAGCTGACGTATTCTCGAAAACCAACACGGTGCAGTCCGACCAGTGAAATGACAATAGATACTCAAACTGATAACCTCATTTATCAACTGAATCTCTATAGGTGACGACATCAAACTCCAAACTGCGGCAATGACAGCAGAAGAATCGCTACTCCGAGCCGACAGAATACTCAACCTGACCGTGTCTCCACTGATGATGCTGCTCAGCTTAATCGGCAACATCTTGGCGTTCCTGATCTTCTGGCGGAGCTCCTTCAGCACCATGCCCATGTCTGTTTACTTGAGGTTTCTGGCCATCATGGATGCTGGCACTGTGGTGACCGGTCTACTGCCCCGGTTTCTCTTGGCTGTCACAGGTTTGTTAGTTTTTCCTTATCTTAATTCTTTTAGTAGGTTATATATCAAATTCTGGAGTCGCCGCTACGTAGCAGCTAGACGCTCCACTTTGGATCGGTAAGACATGTGTTCGGATCCTGACGAAGCCGAGATTTGTTTTCCCAAAATGACCTCGACTCCTAGGTTGACACAGCCCTGACTGGATATCAGATGCGGTCGTGGAAAATATGTGATACTGACCACAATATATATCACGTGCCGATTGGTCTATAAAATATAGGTCTAACCCTATATGCCCTACACCGCCTAAGGCGGGGAAAAGGGTCCTTTGCTTTTACTTCTATCAATTTTGTGATTTTAACTAAGGAAGTCTACACAACGATTTAAAGTGTATTGGGTATATAGGGCGAGGCCTAGATGTTATTGATTAATCAACAGGGTGGATAATATGGTAAACATTACACCGGCCGCCTTCACTTCCCAGGACTACACCTGGTAGACTTTCAAGCCAAGGTTTTTTTTTTTTCCACAGGAATTTTTGTTTTTAAATCTGCCTTTTTTTTTTTTATTCTGTTAGTTTTTCCTGTCAGTTATTTTCATATGAAAAAAGCAAAGGCCTCAAAGAATTCCCTGGTGTAACGAATGTCTTCCCCTGCTCCACGGAGTTAGGTTTAGGTTTGAATGCCAACCGGTCCGGTGGTGTAACGAATGTCTTCCCCTACTCCATGCAGCTATGTTTACCCATATTTTCTTTGGCCTTCCTCTTCATCTCCCATGAATATACTCCTCCATTACCGTTTTCTGTAAACTTTTGTGGTGTTTTAGGTGACCAAAATATGTATATTGTCTGTGTTTTATCGTCTTAAATAGCCAACCTTCTTCAATATTTAGTTCTTGAAGTATGTACTTGACCTACAGCCCTGTTCGGCAAATACAATTAACTTATTAAATAAAGCGCCACAAAACCCCCTAGCAAAGGTAAAGGTCCCTTTTCCACGCCTTTAGGCGTATAGGGCATAGAGGGCTAGACCTATTTTTTATAGACCAATCGGCAAAAGACGGATTATGTGGTCAGCTTCATGCAGACCGTCTTTACTTTCTGAGACTGCACCCCGTACCCACTCAAGGCTGTGTCGACATGGGAGTCAAGGTCATTTTTGAAAATTGTTCGACTCCTCCAGGAAGCGAACCCATGGCCTTCCGATCCGCACGAGAGCGTCTAGCCACTACACCACGACGACGCCCAACAATTACTCCTAGGTTATCTCAAATGTTGTTACTTAAATCAGGTCGCTTCCTTTCCACAGACTATGACATCCGTGGTAGAAACGAAGTCAGCTGCCAGTTCCAAGTCTATGCAGTCTACGTCTTCACTGAACTAAGCGCCTGGACACTGGTCATCGTCACATCAGAGAGGGTCATGTCTATCATCAGACCCCACCGGGTCAAAATTCTTTGCACGAAGATCAAATCTTACGTCATTCTTTCTGTGGTTTCAGTGATAATCATGCTAGCCAACTCTCCCATTTTTGTATTCTTCGGAAAACAAGCAGTTACAGAAAGCACAGCTGAACTTTACCGAGAACAACACAGCGATGTCTTGAGCACAAACAGTTCCAGTTTAGAAACAACAAATACATCCGGGTCTATTTTCCGACCTTGCGGGTTCAGAGACACCATATCACAATCAGGAAAAACCTGGTTCTTAACACATTTTGTCAAACAAAGCCTGCTACCTTTCATCCTTATCCTCACACTCAACAGCATCATCATCCTTGCCTTAATCAGACGACGATCAGCTCTTTTGAAGAGCTGTGCCAAAGAATTTAATTCCCCTTTAGCAAATAAAGACATAGCTAAACGGCCAACCGAAGGAGTCTATGCCCCGATGATGTCTAGAAAGGACGCTTCCTTGTCAGTAACGCTCGTTGCTATCAACATCGTCTTCCTAATGTGCAACTTCCCCATAGGAATCTACCAGCAGATCGTCTTCAACCTTCCAGATCGATACGAGAATTCGGACCAAAGTTTAGTGTATTCTGTTTTGGTTTTCTGCCTTTATTTGAACAATACCCTCAACTTTATTTTGTATTCGACTACTGGATCCAGATTCCGAAAAGAACTCCGCAATATGTTCTTATGTTCCTCTTGACATTATTAAAGCAAACGAAAAAATGTAGTGAGATGCAAGACCATTCTTATCCCAACCACGACTATAAACGAGCTTTTGTCTCCATACACCAATGGCATTTTTAATTTACATGTAACTGCCAGTTGAGTTACATCGGTCAAACGGAGAGACAGCTTGGAAATAGAGCATATACCTAAATGGCTACATGCACGGTTTAGCCATTCTACAAGGTTGTCGAGACCAACCAAGAGGAAAAAACCAAATTCTTCTACTGGACGTCATTTGCTTAATTCCGGACACGTAATTGGCAAGGATAGCGCTTTCCGTGTGGTTTTCCAAACACCGAACAGGCCACTGCTAAAAATGGCCGACGCTTTAACAATTAAAATCCATAACTCCCTTCTTTTGTAAGTAAACGAAATTTATAGCAAATTTGAAGTTACCCTGGTAAGTCAGCTGACTACAGTGAACTTCCGGCGACTAGACAAAGAAACCATTGACACTTTTGTATATATTTAGTCAGTTGTGTGTATGTTTGTGTGTTTCATGTTGTGTTGATGAAGCTCTGCAACAACGCGCCTGGCGATATGCGGGGAAATATGGCTGGCAATACATTTTGCAATGTTATTTGTGTCCGCATGATTTTTTTTTTTTTTATCCTTACACGTAGGGCACTGCAGATGACACTAGGCTGGTGAATCAGTTCCAGGTGCCACCCTTATAAATTCATTTGAGGTTGAACAGTGAGCATATTTTGGATCTTTTCTCCAGGCTATGCAGACGTGGTGAGGAATGAAGAGGCAGACAGTTTAGCTGTATCCGCACCTCTGGGTGGTGAATTGATACCTGACAAGGCAGATTTGGTCAAGGCCCTTTGGGAACAAGTAATGAAGTCAGAAGAGAAATTAGATAATTATGGGCCGGAGAGAATGATGCAGCTGGTGTAACCAGAGAGTTCGGTAGGCACACTACGTTCATAGGAAAGGCAAGACGGACATACAACCAGACTACGACCGGCACCATTGGTATTGACGCTGGCTGTTAAGGATGGGGACGCAGCACGAATGGGAATGGCCTGAGTGCTGTGATGTCAATTCTTGATTCAACTAAACTCAACTCAATTCCAACCTCCTGGAAATTCCCGAAGATCTTTTTGATGGATGCGAATTTATTTTATGTTCACTATATATAATACTATAACCTCAAAGATAATTATTCCACTATAAGTGGTTTTTCCCACTGCCCCCACCGCCCCTCCCCGGAATTGACGTAGTTTTTGTGCTAGAATATGCAGGTATTCAAGGCAGTGAGCGCGCAGATTATCAGGCAGACAAGGCGGTGACCACGTCTCGTCCGGCCTGAACTGGACGATGTTGTTAACTCTCTAAAGCGACGAAATTCACGACAACAAAAGTACGCAATCCCCCATGCATGCACAGTCACACTTAGATAAACAATCACCCTTCGATACACAATCACCCTTCGATACACAATCACCCTTTGATACACAATCACCCATAGATACACAATCATCCATAGATACACAATCACCCATAGATACACAATCACCCTTCGATGCACAATCGCCCTTCGATGCACAAATGGCCTACAGAAGGGTACAGTAACAAACAAGATAAAGGATAAAGTAACAAATGGGGTACAGAAGGGGCACAGTAACAAGCTAGATGACGGGGTAAGTAACACAATGAGTTAAACTAATAAATACGATAAAGGGTAAAGTAACAGATGGAGTGAAGAAGGATATAATAAAAAAGAAGCTGAAGAGTACAGTAACAAATAGGAAAATGAGTCGTACTGCGATAAATAAGATGAAGGGCAAAGTAACAAATGAGGAAAAGAATAGTGTAATAACAGGTAAGATAGAAAATACATGTGACTTAGAATGGTGCAGTAACAAGTAAGATGAAGGGTAAAGTAAAACATGTGACTGAGAATCGTGCACTAACAAAAAAAATGATGAAGGGTAAAGTAACAAACGAGGTAGAAAATGGTGCAACAACAACTAAGATAAAGGGTAAAGCAAAAAATGAGGTAGAAAAGGGTGCAACAACAACTAAGATAAAGTGTAAAGTAACAAATGAGGAAGAAAAGGGTGCAACAACAACTGAGATAAAGTGTAAAGTCACAAATGAGGTAGAAAAGGGTGCAACAACAACTAAGATAAAGTGTAAAGTAAAAAATCAGGAAGAAAAGGGTGCAACAACAACTAAGATAAAGTGTAAAGTAACAAATGATGAAGAAAATAGTGCAAAAACAACTAAGATAAAGTGTAAAGTAGCAAATGAGGAAGAAAAGGGTGCAACAACAACTAAGATAAAGTGTATAGTAATAAATGAGGTAGAAAAGGGTACAGTAACAACTAAGATAAAGGGTTCAGTAATACATGTGACTGAGAATGGTGCAGTAACAAATGAGATAAAAGGTACAGTAACAAATGAGATAAAAGGTACAGTAACAAATGAGATAAAAGTTACAGTAACAAATGAGATAAAAGGTACAGTAACAAATGAGATAAAAGGATACAGTAACAAATAAGGTAGTGAGAAGTTCTGGTCTTCATCCATTTCTGGACTTTTGTTTTGTTCCAGAACTTGAGTTTAGGGTGTACATCCGTTAAACATATCGTGCTTTTTTGTGCACACTATTGGTTTCACGTCTCTCGTGCAGATGTACTCAAAACTTCGAAGAAAACAAAAATGGGTCATCAAATTTTACCATTCAATCTACGCCCGGGAATGTTCTGTTAATTTCGTATCTGCTGAAAGGCGTACTAGCGAAAACGTTTAGTAACCAGCAATCAATATTAACGTTTCATGCCTGGCCGGAGGTAGAGCACCTGCATAGTGCTGACGCCTTTGCGTGTACTGTGAATACCAAACACAAGTCCACACACTAGCATATCGCATATTATCTGTTCAATATATAACCACTAAACAAACAGACCTCGACCCAAACAAATAGTGAAAAATACAACTTATATCTTAACATAGCAAAAACAAAGTTAATTACAAAGTTAAAACAGAATTATTACAAAGTAAAAATGATTGTTTTACAGAGTAAAAAAAAAATTATTTTAAATCAGTGTTTGCCAAACTTTACTTTGTCACGGGGCCTTTTTTTTTTTTTTTACGTTTAAAATGTTCCCACTTTACCCTAACCTTCGTAAAAGTATGACTATTCGTATGTAAGAGATGCCCACACACACAAGAAAACGCCTGTGTCTTCGAATATTTCGGGGCGCCGCTGTGAAGAGGTCGCGATTCCCTTGGCGCCGCAGCGCAGTTTGAAAATCACTGTCTTAGATAGCTGAGACCCAGTACATCTCCGACCGCTCCACCCCGCTCTCTCTTCAACACCTACTAATTTTATAAGGAGACAAAGGTGCCTCCTTCTGCTAAAGCATATCTCCTTCTACATTATACAAGTATAGAAAAGTATTCATCTTTGCATTTCACATTGTTGCAAGAAATATTTTGTTTCTCTGTCATTCAGCATATTATTATTATTTTAATAAATGTGGATAAAAACAATATATTGCAGAATTGATTGCCGGGCATCTGGTCAAATGCGTTACTGCAGTTATCTTTTTCTTAATCTTTTCTCTACTCCTTGAATGCCTTGCGGCATCGGAGCTGTAGAGATCACAGGATCGGGTCGTTCTGTTCCCTTTGTATATAGTACTTTTGAGCGTCTCTGATATTTGTGCGGTCCATTTTTGCGTGTTTGACCTCTGCCTTTGTTACCTATGTATCTGCATAACGTTGCTCTTTGTGGTGCCCTGTCTGATGTTTTGTTACATGGCCAAACCATTTGACCTGCTGTCTACCTATAAAGTTCAGTATCTTTTTTGTGCCGATTTTGTGCGGCCCATTCCCGTTCCAGGCCGCCCTAGGCAAAAATTGCAATCCTTTTTAGGGCTGTCAGATCCACTCCCAAAAAACAGGAAACCGCCTAACCGCGCAGAACATGATGCAGCAGCTAAAACTCAAACTTAGGCGAAAATTATCGCCACAAAGAAACAAACTAAATTCAGATAGCAAGAAACCGTCCTCAATAAAGCAGGCCTTCGGACGGCTGAAAGAGGACAAAGTTTGACATTTTTGTTTTCTTGTTTCCAAGTTCCAAATTGTGTGCCGACTCTCCTTCTGATATCATCGTTCCTAAGATCTTTACTTGTTACACCTAGTATAGTACGTAAACATTTCATTTCTGTCGTGACTATTTTCCTTCTGTCTTCTGAAGAGAGTGTCCATGTTTGACACTGATAACTGATAGAGTCGGTAACCGCATTTATATCAATACTTAATGAAGCATACACATGATTAAACTCAACCGAAGTACAAAATGATCTCTTCAAATCCATTGCTGACAAATCGCCGGAAGTTCATCATAGTCACATGACTTACTAAAGCAACTTCAAATCGACAAATTAAATTACTTATTAATTTTTTTTTTAAATTCATTGCTGGAAAACCTTGCTTTGAATAATAATAATAATAATAATAATAATAATAATAATAATAATAATAATAATAATAATAATAATAATAATAATAATGTGTTAACATTCAAAACAGTGTTTAACCGTTGTAAATTTAAATATTGTTGACACAAACAATATACTGCATAGGTTATTGCCAGGCATATTTTACTGTCTCTTGTCAGATGCATTGCTACAGAAGATAAATAAAATGTACAGCAAGTGGTTTATGCACTTCAACAAGAAAAGAATTCATTTTGCGCTGCATTATCTGTTGATGTAACTCTGTAGTATTGCATCGTTAACGATGGCAGGCAGGTCGCCTGCTGGTGGATGTAATGTCCTAAGTCCCTTCCCCAGCTAATAATGAGGGTACTGCTGGGGTGACCGTTTATTAACCCTCATATAATTCTTCCGGTCAAAATGGACGCTAGGCACGGCCACATTTTTTTTTAAATTGTTTTTTTTTTAAGCCGTGGCAAATGTTTTTTTTTTTTTTTGCCAGACGGTGGCCGTTGCA